TGAGGGAATGAAGATCCTAATTTGAAGAAGTAAGCATTCTTTTCAGGGTATTTCAATAAAGTTAAAATTCTGTCATGATGAACAGCTTTGATGGATTTATGGAGCCTTGGGTTTTTTTTTGGGTACATACACTTCTGTAGCTGATCTTTCTGCACCCTTTTTATATGGACATGAGCTGATCTCTGAGTCCTGCAGCTGGCAATGGTGCCAGCCATGGAATTTCTGTGTTGGGGGAGTGCTGTGCAAGTGCTCCCTGCCTGCCCAAGTGGGGAAAATGGTGCACACTTGGGATATGCAAGTACTGCATTTCCACACAGTGACCCTGATGTGCACCTGAAAAGTACCAAAGTTCTTCTTCTGCACATGCATACCCCAAATGTGCACCAATTGTGGGTTCACACCAGGATTACTCAGGGTCAAGTTTGTAACAAATAAGTTACACCAAGGTTACAGTTGGTGCATTTGTGTGATACTCCTGTTATGTCACATTTGTACACCAAGTGTAGCCCTGGAATGGTAGCAAAATGTCCTCTGCAAGCGTGCACACTTGTAACCCCAGAATATCCCATATGCACCAGTTGTGACCCTGGTGTGCACCTACTGTGGGGTCACAGCAAAAATAGCACCCCACTTGGATGGTACAACTCCATGATATCCAGTTGGGTGAGGCCAGTGGAGGAGGGTGTTCCTGTGGTCAAAGTGGCAGTATAGGCTGTTGTTGTGCAGGACTGCCAGGTGGCCAATGTGCTGGCTGTGGCAGGATTTACCACAAGTTTCCTACTCACTTCCCTTGCAAGCAAAGAGGCCAGCAGCACAGTCATCAAGCTCCTGTGCTGCAGGGATGACATCAAAATGTTTGATGCTGTCAACCTGTATAGTGAGTTGTCATGCCTTGCTGGTGATTGCAGACTGCAGAGGTAGTCTCTCCCACTTTCCTTGTTTAGTTCCAGAGGAGGCAGAAGATAAACCATTTGCTATTGCCAACAAGTACTGGCAATTTGTGCTAAAGAACTGGCTGTCTTTGGAAAAAGAAAGCATGCAGCAAGCAGTGAGTGGCTGTTGGCACCTAGCAACAGTTCATGCCCAGGACCAATGGCCTGATACTGGGGTGTATTGCAGATTTCCTTTTCAGGAGCCAGCAGGCCCTGGCCTGCCCTGGGAGATGATTCCTGTGCACAAATATATTTATGATTGTTAACTCATTAACAATGATGGTATACTGTGTGAAGTTGGGCCTCAATTTCTTCTGGGGGCATTTGATGTCACCCCATCAATGCTTGATGCCTGCACAGGTGTATGACTCCTTCTACTTGCAGGAAGGCCTCCCATTCAAATTTTCCAGGCTATTCAAAGGCTTTGCCCCTAAAACCTTTACAAATCAAATTGTCTGCACCCTGTTGACTATTATTCTCTTGACGCAAGAAAGCAAAAACAATAAAAAAAGAAATTCATGTGTTTAAAAAGGAAGTGAAAGACTCACTTGGGCAAATGAACCCCTGCCTCCAAGTTCAGCATCCTTTAAACTCATTCAAGAAGCAATTTATAAGCCCCAAAAAACACCATTTACAAGTTTGGGCAATCTTTAATATGTTCCCAGGCTTCTTTCTTATTATTGTAGCTAAAACTTGTATAAATCAAAACCTCCCCAAGTCTTTTTTGCTGGTATTTAAAATCCAACTTATAGAGAGGAATGATTGTATTTTGTGTGCCTGTGAGTTCCACTCTTTATATGTAATTTTTTTGCATCAATTTCCGGAAAAAATTCACATCTGCTTGATTATTACTCTTACAAAGAATAAAGATCTTCAGCAGATAGGCCCTGGAAAATCCTTAAAGAAAAAAAAACCATTGGTGTGCCAGCAGTGTATCATCATGTATACAGTATAGTCCTTTCCTCAGAGAGGTGAGCCCAGCCAAAAACATATGAATAAACTGTTCATCTCTACATATAAACCACATGATGCAGGTGTGACAAGGAATGGAATGGAATCCCCAAACAGAAAAAAAATAATCCATCTTTATTTTCTCTTTCGCGGTCACGCGTTGACCTCGGGGGGGGGGGGAGAGGTGAAAGGTGACCTTGTGCTGAGGATGGACCCTCTCATCTCATCATGGTGGCTCGGAAAGTAGTATACTACTTTCGGCCCTCCTCATCCTCTCAGAAAGTGGTATGCTACTTTTTCCAAAAGGGGGATTCGGAACCAGGACGCGTTGGAAAAGAAGTGGTATACTACTTTTCTTCCTATATACAGTATACTGTATATATATATATACTATATCTCATCCGTTTGCTGCTGGTGGCCGGGATTCTCCTGCTTCTTGCTTTGCATCTTTTAATCATTTTCTATGAGTGACCAAGTTGCCCAGTTATTTCTGATGAGGGCAAGTTTATAAAACCCCTCTGTGGCTTTGAGAGGTTCTCTCATACATGTGCTCATCCTCTTGTGTCAAGGATGGAGTCCTTGTATTCAAAAAGTCAACCACAAAAAACCCCTGATTTAAAAAAAAACATTTTCTTGATTTTCTTTAACCTCATGCATTCCAGTAGATATTAAAAAAAAAATTAGCTTTTATAATGCTGTGAGGATTGACTCCCATATATCAATAATAAAATCAACAAAAAATTAGATGAATAACTGCATACAGTATGAAAAGTTTCCTCTTTGAGGGTTATTGTGCAGTGGTTTCATATACAGAGGTCCTGTTTTGTGTGATGTTGGGAATGGGAGTGTGTGCATGGCTAAGTTTTGGACATTTTACTAAGAAAATATGCATTACAAGTAAAGAAAAAAGTGTACCTATTTTATATAATGTGCTTGCTGTTGAAAAAATTAATTTTCTCTTGATTTTATGTGTGTTTTTAGCATGTATATGAACTCATCCTTCCTTTTCAGTATGTTGTCAATTTTTTTTAATTTGAATCCTATTACTGTATATTTATTTTGACTACAAGAGAATAAAATAATAATGTGCTTTTAAATCTTGAAAAATTGAATTGTGAAGAAAGACAATGCGCCAATGAGGAAAGATTATCTTTTTGAAAGTGCTGTATTCTTTAGAACTTTTGTGCAGTGGTTTCATGCAGAGTTCCTAATTTTATGTGATGGGAATAATGGAAAAAATGTGATCAAGCCTTGGACCAAAATAGTAAAGGACTGACACAGAATTTTCCTTTTTTACATGAAGATTTTGTTGGAAAAAAATCCATCTCATTTCAAATGTGTTTTTAGCAAGTGCTCATGCATGTACTGTCAATTTTCATTTGAAGGGCATAATAAAAAAATTTGTTAAAATGCTGTATATAGAATTTAAATGTTTTAGAAATAATACAAGTTATTTCTATTGCACAATTTTGTCATGCATCATTTTGCCAAGAGAAAAGCTAAAATAAATGATTCTGAAGAAACTGAACTTGAAAGATACAAAATTCACAAAAAAAAGAGGGACATTTGTCTTTCTGAAAATCTTCAGCTGAAGTTTATTTGGGGTCTCACTCAGTGAAGGGTTTCATAGGAGATGAGAATGCAAGTGAGGTCACTTTAGGCAATTTATTGGGAAAATGAGGGATCATTCAGATTGCACATGAGTTTATTTTTCCCTGCACAATGAGTTTTTTTAAAGGCTAGTTTCAATTTTAATATTGATATAATTTCTTCATGTGCTTATCTGTTACCACAAATGAAATCATGGGATTCTCCTGTCATTCAATTGATTTTTATTCTGCCTTCCAGAAGAGATGTTAAAATTTAATAATGTTTTTTAATTTCTGGTAATGGATGCTCTTTTTATGAAAAACTTTTAAAAACAAGAAAATGAAGTATTTCCGAGTTCTCTCAGAAAATTTTCACCTCTTTTTTTTTACCCAGAAACACACTCAGTTTCATTTGAAGGGTATAATAAAACAATTTGTTAAAATGCTGTACATGTATATAGAATTGGAATTATTTTTTAAATAATGCAAAGAAAACATTAAAATGGGGTGATGCATTAAACATGATTTTATTTGCTTTTCATGGGTTTGAGTATAAGTCAGCATTTGCATCTTCCTTTATAGAATTTTATTTACAATTTTAGCCCTCTTCCTCCTTTTTTTATCATCCATCTATACAAACAACTTCTACAATTGGATAATAAATCAAATTTTAAAAATCTGTTGATGATTGACTGATACAGTTCCATCAGTAAATAAAATTTGTCTCACACAGGTCTTCCTGACCCAGTTTTGCAAAAGCTACTACAATAAAAAAACATTCAGATGAGTAATATTTCCCATCTTTGTTACTTTGTTGTGCTACAGTGCTAATCTTTTCCAGGTTTTATAGTTTTCCAGTTTATATATGGATTATTAAATTTGTATTGCTTAATAACACTAAAAAATGCAGGGCTGAATTTTTTATGCAACACCTGTATTGTTGAGTTTCAAAGAATATGTGAGTTGTTCCAGACTTTAAAAATTCCTTGATGGAATGGGAAAACCTGTGAACTTCAGTGCAATATTAGCAAATATAATCAAATATGACCTTGACATTATTCCAGGCATTGTAAATATCTCAAATCCCTGAAATCCACACACTTTTATTGTTATATGAACATCATTTCCATCTTTCTTTGCTTGCTCACATTATTTACCAAGAATTGAAAAAAAGGTTTGAAATTTAAAATTCAAATCACTCAATATTATCCATAATTTCTGTGCCTGAGAACATTTTTTGCAACCCCCCTTTTCAATGCCAAGGAAATTACTTTTGTACTGTATTATATTTATTAAATAGGGGTTTTGTCAAGCAGATTTATAGTGACCCATGCATTGGCCAATTGAGAATCACTGTCATTTCCATTTTGATCCTGGATGCTGCATATTTGTAGAAACTATCATTTTTGGAAAATTGACATTAAAGTGCTTTCATTGCAATGCAATTGCATGATGCCTCTCATACATGTGCTCATATACATACAGATAAAATTGGAAAAGTCTCCAACAAGACTTTTTTGCTTGCAAAATGGAGTTGGTGGGCAGTTTTCAGGATTTGTTGGGCGAGTGCAGGAAGGTGTTTGACTCTGGCAATGTGGTGGACGTGGATCAGGTTATGTCTCTCTTGGCTTCATACACATCCAAACCAGAGGAGTGGAAAAAGTTTGCCAAATTTGACCGCCACAAGTGAGTTCTTCTTTTTATCAAGACCTTTCCATGAATGAATATAAAGATTTTGGCTGGCACTGCTCTTTAAGGACAACTTCTATTCAAGAAAAAATTGAAACCTTCATCATACTGTATTATGATGATGATGATTAAGCTACAAAATCTGACCCAGAAAGTTATCTTCTTTCTCCCTTGATTTCATTTTTGGAAAATTTAAGCTGACAAAAGCAGGCAAATCTGCAATTGTTTATTTAATTATTTAAAATAATATTTAAGTATAAGAAATGTCTAATATTATTGCAAGTTATGTGAAGTTAATTTTTGGAGACCTGAATTCAGTTTTTTGACATTTATTTTTTTATACTTTACAGCATATTGTAGCTATGGAATGGAATTTGCTTGAGACCTTTTCAAACTTTCAATACATTTGGTTTTCCTAATTTTCATTGCAAAATTGGTGTTTTTGACTTATGACCCAATCAGTACAGTTATTACTGTGGACAGCTTGGAACTTTTCCTTTTTTTAGTTATATCTACTAAGACAATGTTTAAGAAATACTGTATGTATTTTTAGATATGGCTAAGGAAAAAATTTCTTCAACCTGAAAAAATTGCATTTTTGTATAGTCAAGTACCTTTGCATCAAATTTATATTCAAAATTCAAGTAGTTTGCATGTTGATGTCAGGAACTGTGGAGTAATGTTTATATTTTGAGATTAATCTATTTTGATTTGTATACTTGTTATCATTAAAAACACAGATGTGCTCATTCTTAGATTTTAGGAAGTCCATTCTACAATGTTTTTGGTCAGACAATGGCTGCACCAAATTGGATGATTTAAATGCCAAACTGATTCATTTAAAATTTAACAGGTACACCAGGAATTTGGTTGATGAGGGAAATGGGAAATACAATATTATGTTGCTGTGTTGGGGAGAAGGAATGGCCTCTACCATCCATGATCATTCCAATGCCCACTGCTTCATGAAGGTCTGACTTCTGGATTTTCTGAAAATGCATTTTTATTTATTTTCTAAAGCATAAGTGGAATGAGCCTCCTCAAGAGTTATAACAACATGTTGGCCAAAAGGGGAATTTTCATACAAATGAATGGTTATATTTCCTGAGTGTTTTTAATCAAGGATTTGAAAGATTTTTATTTTTTTGGCAGAACCTCAGGGGTCATTTGATTGAGAGAAGGTATGACTTCCCTACAGAAGAATTAGGTGTGATGATTGAGAAGGGAAACCAGGATCTGAAACTGAATCAAGTGGCCTACATAAATGGTAAGTTCCTTCTATACCTTATTGCTGCTGTTGGACATGCAAACATTTTTTGCAACTGATAATAATAAAGAAATGAAGTTGTATTATACTGTAGTTGGACTCAAAATATTTCTTCAAATTTTTGTATAATTGTGTATGTGATGCATGTCACAATTAAGCACCCAAATTTTTCAACTTCATGTGTTATAAGAATAAGGTGCCTTTTATACTGACTTGAGTTATTTAATTCAGTGTTCCCCAACATGTGGTTGGTGGACTGGCACCAGTCTGAAAAAGCTTTTTGTTTGTCCACAGGAAATTTTCTTCAGCATAATAAATTCATCAAAAGTAGCAATGAAGTCCTTTGCCATATTTTCTGGAGTTCCATGCGCACCTTTTTTCCAAAATTTAAGGCAGAAAAAAGGGTGTTCACGGTACCCAGGGATAAAATGTTTGAGGAAAACTTTTTGAAAACCCTGCTGTGGTTCTATGCAGGAGCACTTTAACAAAAAATTAAGAGGAAATGTGTGGCACCAAGTCTTGTTGTTCATGGGAAATAACAGTTGAAGGGATAGCAATTTTAGGAATCAGTTGGAGATGCAACACAAAGTAAGGAAGCTGAAGATATTCCTATAATTGAGGGAGCTGTGGACAGTGAAAATCAGGAAAAACAAAATGTCCATGGGGGATAAATGAATCCACACAAAAATTCATGATTCTTAAATCTCAGCAACAATAAAAATCTAAAAGGAGCATCTTACACAGGGATATACTTTTTCAGACAAATATCTTGACAGAAACATGGGGGTTCACAGTGTATACTCAGGGACATTTGATACTTGAGTAAATACTGTATTTTCATATGAAATCTTGGAAAAGCAGTTGAAATTATCTGATGATAAATAAAAGTTGGCTTTTGTTCCAATCATGCTTGACACAAATTGCCACCTGCTCAAATAAATTATTTAAATTGTATTTCTGAGAAACCTTTCTTCAAGCCCACCTTTCTAACTTTTTCAAGATATTCCACTACAGCTGCTTCATTATTGGTTCTCAACTTAATTTTTGCAACAACAAGAAACCAACGCTTCTAAAATATGTGCCATCAGAAAGTCTCTCAAACAGAAAACTGTTTTGAGTCTGCAAAAATCTACAAAACTTTGCCAGTCCACAGAAACTTTCATAGAAATTTGCCAATGATTCAAGGGCCCAAAAAGGTATTTGCAAACACTGATTTAGATGGATGCCTTTTTATTTTAAAAAAATTTCAGATGAATTGGGCCTGCACCGAGTGGAGAACCCCAGCCACACAAACGTGGCAGTCAGTCTCCACATCTACATTCCGCCATTTGACCAGTGCCACATCTTCGACCCCCGCACTGGCAAGCAAAACGTCAGCAAGATGACCTTCTGGAGCCGCTACGGAAAACGAATTCCCTTCCAGTATAAATTTCTTCTCAAATCTATTATCAGCATATACGTTTTCATACGCACTTTTGTCAGCCTTCTTCATATAATCATTAATTTTTAATTTAAAAAAAAACAACAGGATTCATGAAAAGACGTCACCACCAGCAGCAACAGCAGCAGCAGCATGGACAGTTCAAGGAGAAACTGAGGAAAATACCAAGAATGAAAGCCTGGACAATAATGTGCAGCATCACCCGCAGCAGCAAGCTGTGGTTCAAGTCAAGTGAAGAAAATGAAGAGGAAAGAAGATTTGGAAGAAACTCAACATGAACTACAAAAAAAGCTGCTGTATACAGCATAGGATGGATGAAAATTGGCAAATGAGACAATCAAGTGCAATCATGCATATTTGTTATGATTATACTGTTGTATATTTTTTGACTGCATGATTAATGCTGTTGATTTGAACAAATGTTATTTTGAAATACTTCTTTGTTTGACACAAACACTCCCTTCTTATATACATGTTGTGCATCATATGTATCTGAGCATCCTATGATGAAATTGTTATTTTTTTATGCAGTAAAATACATGCATATACCAAATCATAGATTATTTTTTCTTCAATTGTGTATCTTTTTACTTTCCCAGCATCAGTAAAAGCATGTCTTATCAAGTGGAAATTTATATTTAAACAGGGTGAAAATGCATGCTTTGTCTTATACAGTATGGAGTACAGTTGAGCCTTGCAAAGTCAAACCTCCCTAAGTCAATTTTGTTTTGATTCCCCATCTGAATTCCTTAAAAAAATACTGTAATGAATTAAAAGTCCTCCTAACTGGAAGGCTTTTCCTCTAAAACCTCCATAAATCAATTTTTTGTGACCCTATATAGGTTACTATTTTATTATAATTTATAGGAAAGAGAAAAGACAATAAAAAATTGGAATTTGATTTGCTTTGATAGGATGTGATACACTAAATTGGGCAAATTAATCCCTGTCTCCAAGCTGAGTGCCCTGATAACTAATTTTGGAAGCAACTTGAGGCCTGGAATATAACAATGTACAATTTTGTGCAATTCTGCAATGTTTCCCACAATAAAAATGCTTGATTGTATGATTAAAACCTCTCTAAGTCAAAATCTCCCAAATTCAAATTTTCTTACTGCTGGTCCCTTAACATTCCACTCAGAGAGGTTCAATTGTATTACATTGCATTCAGGAAGAAATTAAACAGAAAAATAGTTTTGTATATACAGTATTGTAGATGATGGAAGGATAAAATTTATCATTCCTGTGTGTTATGCGCCTGTATGTGTATATAGGTTTGATGCACCTTTTTCTGATTCTTACAGCATATACTGTAATAAGGAATATAGTAACTTATTCATATTATTTTAAACTTTTCAATTACACAACAATAATTGAATGCCCAGCAAATTAAATGCATCATGCATGCACTAGCTATACTGATATCAAAAATATGTAATCAAGTATGCTATACATGCAAAATGAAGGTAATATTACTTTACAGATTTGTACAGTAAATCCTCGGTATAGCAATCATACATACAGTATTTGATATGCCTATACGGTACTGTATATATCTTTTGACTGACTGATTAATGCTGCTGATTTGAACAAATGTTATTTTGAAATACTATTATATGTTTGACACAAACACTCCCTTCTTATTCACATGTTGTGCATCATATGTATCTGAGCATTGTATGATGAAATTGTTTTTTTTTAATGCAGTAAAATAATTCTGATTCTGCTGATTGAGTGAGATTCACAATGACAAACGGCTTGCGACGAGGAAGTGACACCTACAGGAAAGTATATGATACTCACGTCACGTATGGTTCGAATAAGTTAATTAGCCCGGTAGAGTCGTGGTCAAGCACCGCCTCGCGAACTCTGGAATTAACCTAAGTTGAATTCTGAACTGGCGTGAGAATGAATGTGCTGATGAACCGCGTGCGTCCTTCCTTCTAATTGTGTTGAACATTTATGTGTGAGGTCGAATTTCTTGGTATAAGCAGGAATTCCGTGAACACCGTGCGAGCACTCGATTTGTCTGACTCCCGGTGAATACCTACGAGTACTGTATTAGTGTAGTTTAACTCCGAAATTGCATGGGCGATGATTTTATTGCCTTTTTTGATCCACACTCAGCCGGTAAATAAATGCCAGCTGGATCGCTAAAATGTTTCAAATATTCCCTGGAAGTCAAGCCAAATTTACTTCGTAATTTAATTCTTCGTTGTTTTCTGATTGCTGTGCAGATTTTGACCACTGCAACTGTACGGCGCACATCGATTTGCAGGTTGATTTTTTTATATTCTGACGCCATGCAGACCATGTCGTGAGGCGGTTCTTAATTTTTCCCGCCACTTGGAGGGATTGTTCAGTTTTGAACGTTTGGTATTTTCTTTAAATTGTTCTGAAAAAAATACGGATCATGGCAGAAGTGGATTCTTCGGTTTCTGATCCTGCGTCTGAGCCGAAAAAGAGGAAAGTTTCACCACCACCTCATTCTTCAGGTTAGTGCTTGTTCGCATGAGTGTTTTGAAAGTTTACTGCAAGAACTACTGTATTTTCTGAACAGCTGAAGATCAGGATGAGAACGTCAGCAAACCAAAGCTACGTTCGTCCGAGAAATGTGTGAAGCCTGTGGAAGTAACTGACAATGTTGAAGAGCCTTTGAAGTCAGAAACTGAACCTGCTGTGACCGAGAAGGATGTTGAAGCAGATCCAAAGACGAAGGTGGTAGTGCCGGACTCGAAACCTGAGACATCTCTGATTCCTCTACACGAGCTCTTCAACGAAGTTGAAGTCGAAGATTTAAAAAATGCTGCATTCCAGAATCGTCTCCCGTTTGATAAAATGTCCAAGGATGAGTCCATTGCATTCGCGGATGTTATTGAACAAGGCGAAGCCATGCTTCAAGAATACCTCATTTTGCGCAACAACATTCTACGGCTGTGGTTGGACAACCCAGTCCAACAGCTTTTGTGCGACGCAGTTCGCGAATCCCTCGATTTGCGGAAGGCCTTGTATAATCGTGAATTGCTCGTCAGAATCCACGCCTACTTGGATCGATGGGGTCACATAAACTTTGGCATGATCCAGATCCTCACCAAGCCCCCGATGCATCACGGGAAAAAGGTCATCATTGTTGGGGCTGGAATATCTGGTCTCGCAGCTGCCCAGCAGCTCAAGCGTTTTGGCTTCAACGTGACGGTTCTGGAAGGTCGTGATCGAGTCGGTGGTCGCATTGCAACGTTTCGCGGAGAAAACAGTAGTGTTGCGGATTTGGGAGCCATGATAGTGACTGGACTCGGTGGTAATCCGCTGGCAGTTTTGTCGCGACAGTTTGATGTCAAACTGAGCAAGATCAACTCCGATGATTGCCCGCTTTATGATGCATCCGGTGAACGTGTGCCAAACAATCATGATAAAGCAGTTGAGGCTGAGTTTAATCGGTGAGTTGTATTTTATTGGATTTCAGAAACTTCGTTTTCATGATGCATTTTTTGGAGACCCATCGTTGATGACTGCTCAACTTCGCTCAATTCCCGTCGATCGCAATCGGTATTTGTGTTGTGAACCTTTTTGAGGGGTGGAATGGGAATTATGTTTTGAATCTTGAATTCATATTTATATCCCTTGTACTGTACTGGATTGTACCATAACTTTAGTTAGGGTAAGATTTTTAAATTCGTAGAAAACCGCAAATGAAATTTTTCGAAATGTTCATTATGACGCAATTGCGAATTTTGAGTCAGGGAAGGTCGCGTAATAATGCTGAAGTGCTATTCCAGTCATCAATCCATTCTGATGAATTTTTTTGAACAGCAATGGAAGCTCGATGATTGAGTAGCCTTAACTCGATTGCCTAGAATTATTTTCGATGCCCATCGAGGGAAATTCTGCAGCAATAAAACAAAGCGATTGCAAAGTGCAAAGTATCTTTGAGATTATTTTTTTTAGATCGGGTCGCAAACTCAATTTCAGGGTGCAGAAATAGTTCATTTATTTCGGAATTGAAATCCACATGATCTGTACATTTTTTTTTTTTAATTTGGGAAATGTAAACTTTACCTTGTCACTGATTACTCTGTTGACACATTTCCAGGTTGTTGGATGCAGCAGCATACATTGGCAAAGAATGGAAATTTGGCGAGACGGAGCCGAAAACTGCGCTTTCCCTCGGGAAAACCATGGAGGTGCTCATCACGATGCAAGAAAAGTACATTCGAGAAAAACTTGTTTATCACTGGGAAAAGTACGTGGAATTTCAAAACGAATACACATCCGTCATCAGATCCCGTAGAGAACTTCTCAAAATTATCCAACCATTATTGGAAAAGCGCCGTAAAGCAAAATTGGACAACGCCGAATTGCCTCCAGTCTCGGAATCCGAGAAAATGGTGGTCAAGCAAATGAAGGACCTCGTTGAAAGAAGTCGGATTCTCCAGCACATTCTTCGTCGAATGGAAGCTGTAACTCCACCAAAGGTCTACTTCTCTTCAAGCGATCGTCAATTGATCGACTGGCACTTTGCCAATTTAGAATTTGCTAATGCCACCCAGTTACGAACTTTATCCCTCACTCATTGGAACCAAGACGATGCCTTCGAACTCACCGGTCCCCATTTGTGCGTTCGGAATGGATTCTCATGCATTCCCATTGCCTTGGCGAGTAATTTACGAATCCTACTAAACACCTCAGTGAAAGAGATCCAGTACAATGATAGTGGTATCAAAGTGATGGCTGCTCATGGTCGCCAACCACCTAGTGCTTATCGAGCAGATGCAGTTTTAGTGACGCTTCCGCTTGGAGTGTTGAAACGGTGTGTAGAAAATAACGGCGTGACGTTCAATCCTCCTTTGCCCGACTGGAAGAAAAGCGCTATCGAAAAGCTGAATTTCGGCACGCTGAACAAACTCGTGTTGGTGTTCGATGCCCCGTTTTGGCACCAGGATATCCAAGTATTTGGACACGTCTCGAAAGTGCCTGCGATGCGCGGAAGCATGTTCCTGTTTTTCAATATCTACGGTGGTCCGGTGTTGATCGCGTTGGTGGCTGGAGATGCGGCATCTGCGTTGCAATCTGTGAGTGATGGGCAAGTCCAGGCGCATTGCATGGCCATCTTGCGGAAGATGTTCACCAAGGATATCCCGGATCCGGTGAAGGCCGTTGTTACCAGATGGGACCAGGATCCCTTCTCGTACGGATCCTACTCCAGTGTGGGCACACGGGCTACGGGAGAAGATTATGACGTGATGGCGGAGAGTCTGACGTTCGAGGGTTCGGAGTCTCCGAGAGTGTTTTTCGGTGGAGAGCACACCGTTAGGAATTACCCGGCAACTGTTCACGGCGCGTTTTTGAGTGGCTTGCGAGAAGCTGGCAAAATTGCGAATGCGTTTCTGGGGGAACCGTATCTGGTTAAGAAGGAGCCGTGAGGGGAAAATTCCTTGGTTTTATCTCATTCTAGTTTCCCGCGTTGGTAATTTTGCATTGGATGTTTCACGGGGTGAAGCTCACTCACGCAGCGTTCTAGTTTTCATCGAGACACGAGCAAGTTTCAGATTTGGTGACGTGTGCGCATGTGAGAGTGATGCGAGGAAAGTGCCTGGGAAAAAAGCATGCAATAGTTGACTCTCGTTTTGTAGCAGTAAAAATTCTGTTCAGCGATTATGTGGTTGACAGGCTTGATCTCTTAAGTCCAGTGATGTAAAACCTGTAAAGATATCGCGGATTGTTTTCTCATCCCCTGTAAGTCCGTCGATCGAGTAATATGAAGGTGTGTGGAACGCCTAATTTTTTTAAAGATTGCTTGAATACATCACAGTCGAACTTCGAGGGACCAGCGAACAACTAGATTTCTGGAGGTTTCAAAGTAGAATAGCAAGCATTTTTGTTCGGGGTAATAAAGAAGAATTACAGGAAATTGTAATCGGTGGAATTTTGGGCCTTAAATTGGCAGAATGCTGAAGTTGGGGGCAAGAGCCCAATTAATCTTTCACTTCCTTTCAAAACGCCTCAAGGTCTATTTTTATTGCTTGTCTCTTTCATGTGTCAATAAAATGATTGCCAAAATGCCTCCAGGAAGTTCAAAAACATTCCGTAACACCATCCAGATTATTCACGGTATTCGTTCATGTTGAGAATAATGTTGGCAGCCGAATTTTCAACGACAACTTGGATTTGTTGTATGATGTGAACGTCGATGTCAGCTCAAGTCCATCGTGCGAGGCGTCCGATGTCCGAGGTGTGACAAAACGGCATTTCAAATCCTCTTGTTGGTAAAAACGCTTGACTGCCAAAACTCCACTGTGCATTGTTAATAATTCCCAAAATTTCACATGGGTGCTTTTTTCCTAGCACGATTTTATCCGCTGTGCTCACTGAACATGAAATGATCTGATGTTGAAATGATCAGCAAACTGTAGGTTGATGTTGGGATTGGGAATCAAGTCAAGGGGTTTCCTTGGAGGGAAAATTCTTCGCATTGTTCGCGGTTTTTTTTTCGATTGAGGTATTGTGTCACTGTTTTTGATTTACCAAGTGAGCTTTTGTACGTTTTGTAAGCTGTTTTGTGCTCATGGTATTATTTATTTTCTGTTGCTGGTTGATTCTTGAATGAAGGGTTTGTGATTCTGTGGATTGGATTCACTGGTCTCTTCATTTCATGCATTATAAATACTGTATGTGTGTGGGCTTGATTTCCAGTTACCTTAAGAATAAATAGTATGAGCCTGATTGAATTCATATTCATGATGAGTGTGATGAAGCATTCAACTGGAAAGTCATGTAATGTTTACATCCTGAAATAGGTACCTTATTTACTTGAGTACAACAAGCCCTCAAATAAGGCAGGCACCTTAATTTTTCAGCCAGGAATAAAAGCGTATTTTTGAGTAAGATGTGCATTGTATTTTTAAGAACTGAACATTTAATTAATTTGAAAATGAAACCATCATAATTTAAATGTGGTCTGGAATTGTAGACAAGCTAGTGTACTGCAGTTGAACCTCCCTAGTCCATAAGTCCCAGTCTGAATTCCCAAAATCAATGCATTAATAACCTCCCTAATTCAAACTTTTTCTCTAAAACCTCTTTAAGTTGAAGTTTCTGAGGCCTTTTGATTATTATTTCCGTGAAGTATGAAAAAGAAAATCTTAAAAATAAATGATTTTACACATCTTGAAAGGAAGTGGAAGACTAATAGAGCAAATGAACCATTGCCTCCAAGTTCAGCAAGGTGTAAACTCATTAAGGAGCAAGTTTATAGTCCCAGAATATCCTCTTTTACAATTTCCTGCACTTTTTTCACTTCTTCTTGAAACAAAAGTGTTTGTTTTCTTAACTGGAAACCTCAAAAAATCAAAGCCTCTTCAAGTTGAATTTTTCCTGATCCCTAGAAATTTTGACTTACAGAGGTTCAACTGTACTGTATTAACTTTCCATTTTTAAATTGTCTGCTGAAATAAAAAATTCCCTGCTGGAATTGAGTACAAAGTTTCAAAGTTTTTACTGTGTTATCCTGGCCTATGATTTGCACCCTCTTTAAAAAAAAAGAAAAGAAATTCTCTATTTTTGCACCCTTTTTTGGTTTTTTTTTGTTGGAAAAATTGCAATTAATACCTGATTAGAATCACCTTTATTAAAAATCAATTGCAAGGAATTGATTTTACCTCTTGCTGTATTGTAATTAGAGTGTTGCCGTATTATTAAAGAGAGCAGCTGTTGGATCAGAAATAAATTTGAGCCATAAAATCTCTTTGCTAATGAGAGAGTACACCTCTCTCATTCTCCTATTGCTTTATTTTGACAGCCATAACAATTTTTTCCGAAAATATTTCCTCGGGGTCTGAATTTTTTTGTTGATCTGAAAATCAAGTAAACCAATAAAATGGTGTTATGCAATGTGATGGCTAACCGCGTGCTTATGTTTCTTTGGTGGTGAATGAAAGAACAAGTATTGTAATTTTATCAAAATTTATCCATAACTTATTTTTTCTGATTAATTCTTTGGATTGACTTGATGCTCTCAAGTGTTTCTTTTTTAAATTTGGAAGACAGTAAAAAACAGTTACAGTTACACGCTATCAACAGTGATTCAGTCTTTCTCAGTACAGAATGAGAACTTTGTGGTTCCTTATGTAGGGTTGAGTCTCTCCCCATTTCCTGTGGATCCAGCTGCTATCAGCAAGGATTTTTCTGTTCCCCTCTGAATTTTGTTGTGGGTTGTACACCAGTACTGCCGGATGAGAGAGCCATGATGAAGTTTACAACCAATGCATGTACTGAAGTGAATTCTTAGTTCAGTTCGTCTCATTTTGTCAGGAGGATTGCATGTGTAGGTTTTTGTTTCCTCCCCACTCCCCGGAGTATTGATAAGTTGATTACATGTAACTCATGTACTAGACTACGAGTACAGTAAATTAAGAGCAGTGCACTAATTACATGTGATTGCTATTTACTTGGGAATTTATTGGAGCAAATTTTATGGAGGATGTACAGTATGTTACTGATGTACAAGCTTCCATGGGAAAAAGCCACATTCTTGGCATCTGGTAAAATTTAATAGATACCGTCTTGAAAAACTCCAGATGTGGCATGAACCTAGAAACTCCGGTCCAGAAGGTGAAAAGTACTGATAGATGTGTTTTTTCCCTGCAAAATTTGGCAGATTTCAGCAACGTAGTTTTAGTGCATATATAGATGGAGGTAGTGGTAGAACATACCGGCTGCTGATGGTGCCCTTCGTAGGAGGCGTCTGGGTGCTATCAGTGAGGGACATTCTTACCATTTTCTGTGTTGGCTTAAGTTGAGCGTTGCTTGAGTCAATTGCTTCTCATGCTGGAAGACAGTGCCGATCGGTTGCGTACTTCTGACCTGTATGTGACAACGAATATCCAAGAGTAATTAGGCGCCACGATCCCTACGTTAAACAGTTCGATGCCGCTAACGTGTAATTTCGGATGAATTTTCAGGTCGTGGTATTGTTAGTAATTCACTTGATGCATTGGTTTGTTTTTCATTTGGTAACATTCTTACAGGAAGTACCTGCGTCTTCATACCGTGGTTAGTGCCGGTTGTCCCACCTGTGATGTTATATGGGAAACAAGAACAGCTGTTGTGTGGTCCCTGGACCTGGCAGATTCCGGCGATCCAGCAAGCACCGGAACAGTCAGCTCTTCGAAAGTAAGGAGCAAACTCTCAAAAACGGGGACAACGTAAGGCACTCGATTACAGCGGAAGAAAGTTGCTGCCAACTTCAGCACATCAGTGATCGGGAGCCAGATGATCTCGCAGAGGACCCTTCGCTGCATCCGACGACGGGGCCGTTGTTTCTCGCCTTCACTGATCCAGTGGACAATGTCCCGAATGGATTTTCAGTGCCCCTGAAGCGACGTTCCCGCTCCCGTTTATCGTCAGCATCTCCATTGACTCCTAATGGATTACGCAAGTCATCATCGTGTTCTACCATTTTCCTGGACGATTCAACTATCACCCAGCCTAATTTAAAACACACCATAAAAGCTGTGTCTTTGGCTGTGTTCTTCCACATCAAGAACCGCAAGTCGGAGCGTGGAATGGATGTTTTTGATGAGAAATCGCATCCTTTGTCCAAGGAAGGCCCATCGAGTGACGTAGATCGTTTGTATGTGGAAAATCGGTCTATTTACAGATTTGTGAGGACGTTATTTTCAGCCGCTCAGTTGACCGCGGAGTGTGCAATAGTTACGCTTGTGTATCTAGAGCGACTCTTGACATATGCCGAATTGGATGTGACTCCGAGGTCCTGGCGACGAATGGTCCTTGGCGCCACACTGTTGGCATCTAAAGTCTGGGACGACCAAGCTGTTTACAACGTCGACTACTGCCAGATCTTGAAGGACACCACTGTGGAGGACATGAACCAGCTAGAGAAGGTTTTCTTGGAGATGTTGCAGTTCAACATTAATGTTCCTTCCTCCGTTTATGCCAAGTATTATTTTCACTTGCGCGCGCTTGCGGAAGCAAATGACTTCGCGCTGCAGATGGAACCACTGAGCAAAGAACGGGCTTTCAAGTTGGAAGCCATGTCTAGGTTTTACGAATTCAAGATCATTCACACTGGGAGTGGACGTAGTGGCAAGAATGGAATGAAGCGAGGGAAAAGCTTGGATAACGTTTTCAGAACCTGGCAATCTGCTGCGGTATTGCCCTGAGACATGATATTCCTGATTTCCTTTTGGTTTGAATGAGGGTTGTTCAAAAATTGTAGGGTTCTACACATCGTCAGTTAGTCAAGGTATTGGTGAGCACAATTACGGTGTCCGCGTAAATTTGCGTCCCAATCCCTTGGAACAAGGTAGCGGTCTATGAAGTATAGTTGCTTGACTTCAAATTAAATCTTAATACCAGTCTCAAACTGATCAGGTGTAATTACAGTTGCAAAGAAGGCGGTCTTGGGATGCAACATTTTGGAAGTTGGTTCCTAAAGTTTCAAACAACCCTATTGCAGCCTTCGTAAGCAAAAACCCTGGCTGTTGCGAGGTTTTGATCTTCCAATGCTTCCCTGTTTCTTGCTTTCAAATTGGGTAACTTATGTGCCTGCACTCCCCGAAAGTAAATGAGATGGTGTTTCATTTTTTAGTGCCAATCGAGAAGAAGTTTGTGTGGATAGATAGTTCTTTATTTTTGATCCGCTTTGCGTCGAGCGAGAATTTATGTGTCAGTGCTGTGATAAGTGATTTAAAAAAAGGAGGGGGACAAGTGATCCGTTTGTCTTTGGAGCTGTTCCCAGTAACTTCGCATGCGTGATGAATTCATTCGATGTTTTCCGCTTAAAGAGCATCCAGGTAGATCCGGGATTCATATTTTGTGTTCCCACCGGCATTCCGGACTACAAGAGGCAAGGATTCTCTCCTCTTATTTTGTTCATTTGATCGCGTGATGTCGCTCCTGAATTCCGTGCTCGCTGCTCTGTACATGGATTAGTTTCTGTGAGGAAGAGAACATTCATTACATTTCTTGTTGGTCTGATTTGTGAGAAAAGCTTTACGTGTTTTTTTTGTTTTTTTTTTGAAGCATAGCATTTAGCTTTTGTTGCTCTCTGATGGCTGAAAATGCGGACTCGATTAATTTTGGCTTGTTTTGATCAGTGAAAGGAAATTGCTCAATGCAATTGTCCATGTGACTGCCCATTGTGGTCGACTGAGTAGTTTTCTTAAAATTTGGCAAGTTTACAGAGACAAGAATAAAACCAATGGTGTGGTCTTTCCTCGAAAGTATTGTGGTGTTGTTCTTTTCATGGCAAATAGGTGTTAATATGGTACTCTGCTCTCTATACAGTGATATCTTGTTCCACAGAAACCTTCGGGACAAAAATATAGTTCTGTTCTTATGAAAATTGCATTATAAGGTAACTCATTTAAGAATGTGGCTAATGGGCAGGGATCTAAAAAATTACTTTGCTGTAAGCAATTATTTGCTATGATGAGAATTGTACAGCTTAGACTCTTGTGTATTTGTATGCATTAAGATGAACCAAATTTGAGGAAATTTGCTGGTGGAAATCCTTTACAGGAATATGTGCATTTCTGAAAGCATTAAAAATTATTTGAGATTAAGTTATCTGAAAGATCGGGACAAATCTTAGATTCTGAGGAATATAGAATCAAAAATTGTAGGGTTCACGCATCGTTGATATCACATGAGAAAAGAACAGCTAAATTTATGACTTCTTGTACTCCACAAATGTACCAATATAAGCAAGTTATAATCTTACAATTGAGAAATGTCGACTAAGATACAAGGCAACTCTCTTGTAAAGATATCCAATTTTCATGGTATGCAGATAATCGAAGAGCGTGAGTACTTATAACTACTGTACTGTATGTGCATTTCTGTTTTATGGATGTATGCCCCTAAGTAATACAAGAATGGAGAATCTTCTGTATACACAACCTTTATGACTCAAACTGACCTCAGTCAAATACCGCCCTGTGTAAAATTTGTTTCAAGTCATTTTTTGAATTCCATTGAAAATTTCGAATTGAAAGTCTCCCTCACTTGAAGGCCTTCTCTCTCAAACCTTTCAGCTAGAATCTTCAAAAAGCCCTTTTTTCAACAACACGGATCATGGCAGAAGTGGACTAGGGCTGTGGTCCTGTGTCTGAGCCGAGAAAGAGGAAAGGTTCACCTCCACCTTTTTCTTTGCTAGTTTTTTTTTACATAAGCGTTATGAAAGTTTACTGCAAGCAATTCTGTATTTTCTGAACAGCTGAAGATCACGACGAACAACGTCAGTAAACCGAAGATATGTTCGTCCAAGAAATGTGTGAAGCTCTTAAAGAACCTTCGAAGTCAGGAAGGGAACCCACAGTGACCGAGAAGGATGTTGAAGCAAATCCAAAGACGAAGGTGTAAGTACCGGACTCGAAAACCTCTGATCCTCATCTGCACCAGCTCTTCAACGAAAATGGAGTCGAAGAATGCTGCCTTCCAGCATCGTCTGGAATTGACGAGAGAAAGTTTTCCGAGGATTAAATAGAACAACTGGCATGTCCAAGGTCTTAGATTGAAGGCTTACATGGATTAAGACAGAAAGTAAGCATATGGGTTTTTCTTCTCAGTGCGTTTCTGCTTGTTCGTTGCTGCGCTTTTCCCCCCACACCTATGCAAGGAATCCGTGATTTTATTCCAATTTATTTTATCGAATCGAATTTTGCGTAGAAAATGACGGTTGATGTGCTTCAACGAATTTTATTTTAAATCCAGAAGTGTTGAATATTTGATAATATTAAAAAAAAATTCGATGTTAGTTTTGTATGCTTCAGCAAATATATAAGAGCATTATTTCTTTCAAAGACTTCGTCAAAAGGTTGTATTATAATCCTTTGCGCATATATTTTCGAATGCATTTGTCGTTGAAAAATGTAATCTCACGTCGGTTTTTGTTGTTGTTGTGGAAAACGTAACACTCTGATGTGATTATGTGAACGAGTTTTCTGAACATTCGTGAGTGAGTTTATTTTCAATGGATCTTTTATATCTAAGCTTCGAATTCTAGCCATTTTTCAAGTGTTTGTGTTTTTGGCTGCTTCATCTTGTGCATGATTAGATTTGACAAAGAATAATTATTTTTACTCTTCTCGCAATTATTATTTTTTTTACGATCATCATTTAGTATTAAACCAGAATCATTCGAAGGCTGTGAATTAAAACCTGCGGATTCCTATTAATATGAGAGGTGTTCAGTGCATGTATTTTCTTGCTGTGGCATTTATGCATGTGGCATCTTTCTGCTCAGCAGCCATTGATGGGTACTCAGTTTCAAATTCTGCCGAGATTTTGGTAAGCTAAAGTGTATGTTTGATTAAGATGTGCATTTTATAAATAATATGTCAAAATATTACTCATACTGTACTCCAATTGCAGTGTTGGTCTATTGAAGTGGGAGTTAGTCTGTTAGATGCATGAATAGGTTTTATAGTTTTTCTCAATTCACATGTACATTATAGTAGACTTCTACATGAAGTGTCAAGTTTTATTACACCTCTGTTAGCTTTTGGATTTTACTGTAGGTGCACAAAAGCCATTTTAAATTTAACATGCGATATTTTCATGAGGATAAGTTTCCTATGGCTTTATCTTCCCTTATTGTTGCTATACCTTATTTAGCTCATTGGTAGATATTCATCATGAACTGTGCTGCACTTTTGCATTTACCCAGTATAATGCTTATTGAAAAGGCTTACTCATCCATATTCAAGATCAAAATATGCTTAAAATATGAGACCCTTCTAAGAAAGTAAAATTTCTGAACATACTATTTCCCCTATCCTGATGTTGAAGTGTTATTGGTGAGTTCACCGCAATCCTCAGAATTAAATTGAGACCATCAATTGAACAATTTGAGTTCTGGAATTAGCTTCTGTGTCAATGAAAATTTTGCTTTTTCGATTGAATATGATCTAGGCTTCTGGGGTAAACATTTTGGTGTGTGAGTTGCTGGTAATAAATTTGTCAATTGTGACAAAGCAGACCTGCTTGTCTCTTATGAAGACCTGAGTTGAGCTATTCTAACAAGATCTAGTTTGTTCAACTTAGATTTAAATGTTGCGAAGTATATACTGTTCATTAAGTATGAGGCTTTTTGAACTTTCTTTTTGTTGTTAACTCCTTTATGAGGAATGCTCTTTCGCTCGATCACAATCCTGAATTTTATAATTTTGGAAACATGATGCTTTCCTCTGGACAGGTTGACGATGCATTGGACAATGTGTTTCTTTCACGGAACATCAATGACCTCTTCGCCTCCCTTCTCAACATGATGAACGAAACATCCGGATTGCAGGCAGGAAAGCGGAACAGGCGAGGCGGAAGAACCATCAAGTTTCTGATGGATCCCATAGAAGGCGCCCAGAACGTGTTCGCAGCCCTGATGCTCATCGCTGGAGTTGTTTTGTTGGTCTTGTTCTTTGAGTGGGTTTGGGTGGCCATCAAATATGGGTATTTCCCAGTTGGCATCAAGTTCACGAGGTTCTATCCTTTGGAAGTTGCGCGTCCCTTGAATGTGCCTGGAGGCATTGTGTTCCCGCCGGAAGCGGAGACGCAGGCGCCATCTATGAGTACGACTGAGGCATTCCGCAATGTGGGTTTTGTTTAGTGAGCAGCAGTTGAGCATCAGAATACATATGAATGCTGATTACATCAGGTGGAAGTGCCTTGTTACAGTGAACTGCAATATGGGCCCTTTACAAGAATTAATTCAAATTGAACTGAAACATAAGGAAACTTTTTTTTATTGAAAAGGAGATTTTCTTCGCAAACTTTTTCCCAGAAGTTTGTTTTATAATAAAATATGATACTGTTTAGTATCTGCAACACCCCCATCAACACGTTTCCCTGAAATGTTTCATTAAAGAAATCTTAATTTCTTCTTTGACGAACAGTTTTATACTGTATTGCTGTCAGTATAGTATATTTCAATTCTGCACTTGGATTCCGCAGGGAATCAATTTTTTAAAATGAATTTTGGGAATTTTTCACTGCGCAAGGTTTTCTCAACATTGTATCCATGGCGTTTTTCTTCAGACTTTTACATTACTTTTCAATACTTTAACCATTTGTCACTTATAAGTTTATGACTGATTTTCATTTCTTTTACTTGCGTGTATGTTGGTTGTTATGTGAATGAGTGATCATGAAAAATATACTTCTG